GCCCCCCCGGGAGTGATTTACAGTGATTCTTTTTATGAAGAATGCTAGTGTTTAATTTGTCTAGTAGATAAAAATTACATGGATTGTACTCTAAAACTTTGCATCTATGTAATAAAGGTCTTAACTATATTAAATTGGAGAGAAGGTGTGATTTTTCGTCTCTCAAGAAAAATCAGTTTTCCCTCTGAACTAAAAGTTTTCTGTTAGTCTGAGAGGTTTATCAATGAAACTTATGTAGAGAGCAGCTTACAAAATCATATATTCTCATACTGAAGCAAAAAACCCCCAAAACTAGCCATGTCATTTCTCCGTTAAGTTATGTAGAACTTTTTAGCATGGTAAACAAGCCATTTGACTTAATAATATACAGTGGACAATTCCTAGTTCAAATAGGTGGTATAAAAACCTAATAGGAACATGTCAGACAAAACTTCGATGACTCTGTATGAAGCTGGGGGAGGAAGGCGGGCAGATTTTCTTAGTGTATTTAAGAATTGTCTGTGGCTGAATTAGAGTAAAATATATTGCTGAAAAGCTGTTTTGAATGTCCGTGTTAGTCATTTACAGAGTCGAGTCAGAAATTGTACCATGCTGGACTAGAACAGACTGACTTCAGGCATGCTTGGGAGGATTCCAGAAAACAAATAAATAGCTGGGTAGCGGAAAGGACTGACGGTGAGTGTTTTGCACAATGCCCTGTTGTATTTAATGGCAGCCAGGGCTTGGGTAAAAAGCTATTTCAAGATAGAATATTGTGAATGAAAAAACCGCAAACACTGAGCTCTTGCTCTGTTTGGTACATAATTCTCTTATCTATCATGTATTAATTACCAAGTAGATACTATATTAGATAATAATTAGATACATGTTGAACTGTTAAAAATTGGAGGGTTTTTTCTATGTATCATAAAGGTAAAATTCAGAACCTGTTGGCGGAGGGGATTCTTGATTCACTGACCAGACTTGTGTTGGTGAATGCCATCTATTTCAAAGGCAACTGGGAAAAGCAGTTCAACAAGGAGCAAACAGCAGAAATGCCATTTCATATTAACAAGGTATGATGTGCTAAAATGCTGACAATACACTGTTACTCTGAAGTACTCTGAAATGAATACATTTAACTCTGAAGAATCGTTCAAGTAGGTTAGCTTGGGTGGGCTGTATGAAATTCCTTATAGCACCTCCCTTTAATATGAACACTCTCTTTGTTGAGTTTCTGTTAAGTTTCACATAATTACTAGAAACTTTAATATAACAATTATTTCTTTCATTCTGTCTCTTTTCCTTTACCCTTCTTGTTTGTTTGAGAGAGGTAGCCCTCTACATAGTTACAGAACATAAAACAGAACTGAGGAGAAGACGACAGTTAAGTGAAGCTGTCAGCCTATTTGAGAGTTGTGAACAATTTCACAGAAGTCAGTGAACTTGATTATTTTAGCATAAAACTGTGGTGTGGATAAGAAAAGAAATGTTCCTTTAGGGTATAGGGAGAAAAGAGCACTTCTACGTGTGCAGAAACTTCTGAATGTAAGTCTTCTTCAGGCAATTATTATTATTTTAAGATTAAAAAAAAAAAAGATCCCAGTCTTTGGGATCCAGGTGACTATTGGAGAAAGTTGTAAGATGTAAGGTTGGGGAATGCTGCCATGGCTCACCCAAGGAGCTCACTTTTAGATACGTAAACAACTGCACATCTCTGTCCTTTTAAAACTAAATGGCTTAAGTTTGTATTTTCATCCTACTAATGACTAGCCACTGATGAGCTGCAGAAGTCTGAGTAAGCTCAAATGAGCAGTTGGAAATCCCAGGTGTAACCTGAAGTTTTAAGCTAGTTATTTTACAATCTGTCCAGTAGCAAAGATTAATGTCCCAGGAGCCTTTCCTGTGTCCTGTGACATTATTTCTGTGATGCTTGCACTTCTTACGACTTGCTGGATGATTTTCATGTGCTGTGTGCCCTTTTCTTTGCTTATCCATCCTTTTCATGTGTCATTGCTGCTGCAAAATAATTTCTGCCATGTTCTCTGTGGGCATTGTTTCAGTGGGCTTTCTTTTGAAAACAAAAAACTACTTGCATAGTTATCTTGTGAAGGTAAGGGAGAAAGCAGTGAAACTCTAAACTGAAAAGGAGGAAATAATGACATAAACAATAGTGGCTGATGCTCCCTGTGAAAATGGAAGGAGATAGCAGAGAATGAAATTAAGAAAAAGCTTTCCCCTCCCTACTATCCATGTGACTTTTAAGAATTCAAAATAATGCTCTCACTTTCTTGGCATTTTTTAGTATCATTTTAGAAAACTTTAATTCCTCTTTGTTATAGCACTTGGAGCCACATGGACTAAAAATGAAAGCACCTACATTGAATTTGTTTTGTATTCATTTAAAGCAAGGAATGTGGGCCCTGCTTCTTACCAACTCTGTTTAGTGCTTGCCACTAGTTCTTAAGTGAGCAAATTTATGTGTCCTTGCCTCTGTGCCTTAAAGGAAACTTCACAGACATTTCCACATTAGTAATTAAAAGTTAAATCTCAGGGATCCTTACTTCTTATCTTTTGCTTTATGGAAGACAGTGGTGGGGCTGTACTCTGTGGTGTGTTTAGTTCTCTTTAGTCAAATTCTAAAAAGCCCTGAGTAACTGGATGCCTGCTTCATATTTTGAGACCATTATTAGCTCAGTACTAACTGTTGACATCTCTTCCTTTTTAGAAAGAGACCAAACCTGTGCAGATGATGTTTAAGATGGATAAATTTAACATGACCTATATTGGGGACTTCCAGACCAAAATCCTTGAGCTCCCTTATGTCGGTAATGAACTCAGCATGATCATCCTTCTCCCTGATGCAATCCAGGATGGATCCACTGGCTTGGAAAGTGTAAGCTGTTGAGCTAAATGCAAAGACAGTCTGCATCCTTCCAGGGAAGAGAGTTTGATGTTGCATATAGACCTGCAGTTCAATTCCAAAGCTAGTATGTCGTCAGTGCTCAACTGTAGCTGAAATGTCCCACACCTCCCTGCCCCCAAGGTGACTGGCATGCCTTATATCAGTACTGGTCAAGCTGTGTGCTGCACCCTTAGCCAGAGGCTTTGGAAGAAGACCTGACCCTTTTCAGGAGCAGAGGTTAGCGGAGGTTGTGGTGAAGGCATAGTATGGTGAGCATCATGTATAGTGAGAGGGGATTTGGGGGAGCTCTTAGGAAGCCCTATAGCTCGTCCCGTAGATCTTCTGTTCTGAACAGCTGGCAGATTGTCTGTGGCCTACCACCTGGAAACAGGCTCACAGGAAAGCGTGGAATCTCTTCTGTAGTGGAGATTAGATACAAATTTTGGATATTTCATGCTCTGGACAAGGAATTTATTAATAAGGCTTTCTAACACTGACTACAAAGGGCATTGCGAGCAGACTTTTTCATCAGCCTGTCAACCTGAAGGAGGAACCTGTTGTTAAGAGAAACAAGAACTGGGTTCAGTTCCTTTTGGGACCTTGTCATCAGTTCTTCTGTGCCTTTGCTTCCCATATGTAAAAATGTAAAAAAAGCCCAATCTACCATGTTTTATAAAAGTAAACTTTGTGTGGAAGGGACTGATCCTTATTGTATCTACCAAAAAACAAATGGGATTGATCTCAGCTGGGGCTGTAGTCTCTAGTGAGAATAACTTGCACTTTTGGCTTGAGACCCTCTAAACCCTGGAAAAAAGATGCATATTATGCACTGTGTAAACAAACACAGTAATAGCCACTTTTAGCTGTGTAAAACTGACTTGTCATTTTAACTGTGTAACTTCTGGGTTTTTCCTTTAGCTGGAAAGAGAACTTACATATGAGAAGCTGATAGATTGGATCAATCCTGACATGATGGACTGTACAGAGGTGAGGGTGTCTTTACCCAGATTTAAACTGGAAGAAGATTATGATCTGAAACCCCTTCTGAGCAGCATGGGAATGCCTGATGCATTTGACTTAGAGAAGGCAGACTTCTCGGGAATCTCAGCTGGCAGTGACCTGGTGCTCTCTGAAGTAGTTCACAAGTCCTTTGTGGAAGTCAACGAAGAAGGCACGGAAGCAGCAGCTGCCACTGCAGGAGTGATGGTACTGCGCTGTGCACCGATTGTTGCAGAATTCACTGCTGATCATCCCTTCCTCTTCTTCATCTGGCACAACAAAACTTCTAGCATTTTGTTTTGTGGCAGGTTTTGCTCTCCCTAAAAAGGAGATGTCTTGGCCAAAAAGCCGCCATTACACAATAACGCTCTGTTTCTTTACAATAGGGCTACTCTTTTTGCACTAATTGCCTCTTTCTACTGTGCCTGAATCCACTTCTGTGGTCTTCACCTCTGGCTTGAATAGAATTACAGAGCCACTTAGACATATGCAGCATCTGCCATTTACAACAGCTCTCTTGCCCTGTGCAGCTGAGTGCAGAGGTCTCCAGCTTCTTGCTGACACAAGAAACATCCCACTTGCTCAGCGAACACTTCATCTGTCCTTGCAGGCCCCATTGCATTTCACTTTTTGTGGCCATTGGGCAGCAGCTTGGGCAGTGACATCTCATAGGAAAGGCCAAAGTTAATTTTGTTTCTGATGAGGCTGGAACACATGTTTAGCTCCCTTCCCCCTTCTTCTTCCTATGCCCCCCCTTTTTTTTCTTTTTTTTTCTTTTTTTTTTTTTTTTTTTCCTTCCAGACTCGTCCATCTAATGTCTTGATACATTCCCTGGAGAGGAAAGGAGTCTTTGGCAGCCTGTTCCCAGTTTAACTGTGTAATACCAAAGACGCAGCTGAAATAGCTTTCATAATGCAGTGGTTTGGTTTGCTGTTTCTGTTCCTGAAATAATAAAAGAACTGTAAGTGCTGTAGGACTCTTTCTTTTTTCCAACCATAAATTATTCATTTTTTTAATCTGCAGTATGAAGAAAACAATTGGTTCTTGCAGGGGGGGTGGGCTAGATGATCTCTCTCAAGGTCCCTTCCAACCCAAAGCATTCTGTGAACTTATTTGGTTGATAAGAGGACAATCAGCTTCTATGGAGCTTGTTTGGAATTCATTGTTAAACATGGGATTTTCTGAATACTGCAAACCTGAGGTGCTTACTTGGGTTGCTGTGAGGTTTCGGCTTGGCCTGGCAAGGATTGGCAGCAGAGAGCCTTTACAGCAAAGGGCTCCGAAGCCAAGCGTTTACATTAAAAAAAGTAAAGATAATTGTGACCTAAACGTTGAGCATAAGCAAAGCAGCGCGATGGGATGGGAGAGACGTGCTACCCTAGGCGGCCGCGGTGAGCCTGTCCCACGGGGCAAAAAAACCCCCAATCCTGTGCCGCCCGTGCGCTTTGTTTTTTTAACCAGGCTCCCGAGGTCCCCTGCTCTCCTTCGCCGGGAAATGCAGGCCTCCCCCG